TATATCTGGAAATTCGGAGCTGGCAATCGAACTTAAATTCCGATTTATCGAGCTGAAAATCGTCATTAATCCTCGTCAGGTACTGAAGTATTTGAACTGTGAACGAATATCCGATTCACCTTTCATGAACGGCGTCGTAACTCAATTCGACCATATCGTGAGAGATCACTCCGTTTGTCATGGGAACGAGCCGGCCTCACGGTGAAGAGATAGTCAACACCGTTTACTAGATGCTTTGCCCAGCTGTTTCTCTATGCAGGTTGTACCCAACGTCGTCACAGAGATCCTATCGGTGTAAAGACTGCCCTATTCACAAGGAACACCTTGTTGAAAATTCAAACAACTAGTCATGACCCATGGAGAGAACAGATCGCAGTTCCGGAAAACTTCAGCTCGATGTGGTGACCTATTTACGTTATTTTGGCAAATGGAATCTCGTTCAAAGATGCTTCCATGCCATTTTGGTCATGGTGACCTCGTACAACCTCTAGTTCACTTCTTTGGTGGAACTTATTTTTGCGAACTGGGCTGATTTTCTCGCTTTCTTCGCCACCGTCGCACTCATCCCTCCACCAATTTTCTGAGCTGACGAAGGGTACCTCATACATATAACCATAACTGTAACTATCGAGAGTGCGACAAAAGTTCTAGGATCAAAGAAAACGCATGCAAGTTGAAAGAGAAAAAATGGGCATTTGTTTTTTCTAAGTGAAGAACTGAAGTCACTTGAGGAAAGAGTGTGAACGCGAGCGCAAGTCACACACACCCACCTTCATCCCTGGAAGCCTTGCTAAGAAGAAAAATCAACCCTGGTCGCTCCAAGTTATCGTTCTGGAAGATCAGTTCTGCCTGAACCCCTGAACAGACTTTTGTCCTAGCTTCCAAAATGTGACACAAAAATGATGAAGGTCAAGGTTTTTGGCGTTAATCACTCTCGTCCGAGGGATGCGCCCCCGCATTACACTACCGTTCAGAATCGCAGTAGCAGATTGAATGCGTATATGGCCGCCAGCCGGTCTGCAAGTCAGTGCATTTACCCTTCCAAAGGAGTCTGATACTAATTAAATGACCCGCCACTTGCTACTACACCATCCTGCCCTATGTAACACATATTAGGAATAAAGAAAGTGTTGCTATTTGAAAACCTTATCTGAATGGGGAATGTTGTAAATGAGGGTCTGGCAGTTTCAGCGGAAATGCTAGTGGACTGTAAAAATCGAACTGAGGTATGAAGCTTTTAAATAATTTAAAGCAATTTAGGTACCCGATCTACATGAAGTGCGACTGGACGACGACGGAGCATATATGGGCACAGCTTTGAGCCTCACAGAAGTTGATAACTACCTTGTCAAATACATGGAAAGTCTACCTGGTGAGGTGAATTCTTGGGCGTATAACTTCAAATCCAGTTGGGAATGGATTGTATTGTAGGGTTTCCTCTAACATTCTCCCACCCACTGAGTAAGCTGTGCAAAAACCCGAATTCCTCTTGCTCACTGTTTCCTGCAAATTTCGCATTTTAGAGGAACGATGTGGAGTGTTCCGAGCAGTTCATGAGATCATGCATTGGTTCGCTGGAAAGCACGTAAGGAATGTGGCTGTAAGTTATCGAAAAGGCTAACTTCTATTCAATCACCAGACTAACTAGATTTTTTGAAGCAGGTCTTCCCACTTCTGCTTCTTCCACTAGACTAATAAACTTTTTCAGTCAATCGCGGGAAATATCGTCACCGCCTCACCCATTTCCGATCTGAATCCCATTTGGATGGCAGCTGGAGCGAAGGTATTACAACTTTCAATATATCCTACCAAACACTTCTGACCAACATTACAAACTTAATGAGCTTCGGAATTCTTTGCAGAGGGCTGCCCACTATCATACTCATCAAATATCCTCCTTTTCAGGTCGTTTTGGAGTCCAATGAGCGTGGATTGCGTTCTCCTGTGATTGACGAGCACTTCTTCCTAGCGTACAGAAGAGCCGCAGTGGAAGCCGACGAAGTCGTGAAAGCAGTTGTCATCCCTTTCACTAAGAGGGTAAATTTTTCAGTCAAGTTAGCAATTAAACAGATGTCACCAACACTTATAAAAAGATTCTTTGAAGTTTTTGGTTATTCTATAATTTTGAGCCGTAAACTTGAATTCAACTCTTTTTCAGAATTATATTATTATTCCCCTTGAAAGTTTCGAACGCTGTTTCCGGATGACAGCCGGGGTGAAATAAGCACTGTTATCCTATTAGGCACCTTCAGTACCATAAAGCCCTCATCAAGAGGAAAAAAAGTTCTCTGTTCCCCTGAAGACCAAAGCTTGGCAATGCAGTCCTGATTCCTGGACCATAGGGTCTACGGTAGCAAATAATGGCATTACCCTACCTCTGTCCCTACGACATATGAGTTCACTTTGTATTAAAGTAGCTCAAATCTCTTCACAACATGTTCCAAGAGAATGGGGAGCAGTGGTCTCTTCAGTGACCAAAAATGTGGCAGTCTACCAATCATACTCTTCTTTTCTCCATGGCCAATATCTTCAGAACCAATATTTCCGTGTGTACAAGCAAGCACAACGCCGCGAAGACGACATCGCCATTGTAACTGGAGCATTCAATGCCGTTGTCGACCCGAAAACGCTCATTGTGGAAGAGATCCGAATTTCTTTCGGTGGTATGGCTCCAACAACGAAGCTCGCCCTGAATACCATGAAGCATTTGGAGGGAAAGTAGGTTCTTTCTTCAAATTATCACATGTTCCTCTGCTCACAAAAACGACCTGATTTCAAATTTTCAGGAAATGGAGTCAGCCTTTACTTGATGAGGGAATCGAGCTTATTGCCAAAGAGTTTACGCTACCAGCAGGAGTTCCAGGAGGAATGGCGCGATATCGGCAGGCTCTCACACTTAGCTTCTTCATGAAGTTCTTCCTTGAAGTCGCTGAGGCTCTGGGTGTAAGTTGGACCTGCTCCTTTCTATGTCCGAAATGAATTCGACGAAGGAGGGAAAACGTTAGCTGGGGAAGTATGCAACACTACAGACCATTCAAACCTTTTAAAGCCCTGTATCTCCAGAAACAACTCATCCTGCTCCTGACTTCTTTCGTACAAATTTTGAGAAAATGAATAACTATCTTGAACACATCGATTGGTTTACTGTTTTTGATAAATACACTTCCTCCACTGAAGTCTACGATAGATTCTGCTCCCAGTTGCACTTGGCAATGTCCAAATTTATTCCTTCAAAGTTTCCTGGTCGTACATGGTTCGAATACCCCTCTCATATTAGGAATTTATTGGCTCAAAAAGACAGACTATTCCGAACCAGAGCTTCCCCTCTGTCTGACCTTTGCTATAGAAAGGTTTGCGCCGATCTGAGTCATCATCTTAAAAAATTCATGGAAAATCGTGAAAGGCGATACCTGGCTAAGGCCAAACTTAGAGGTAAAAGGCTATTTCATTACATTAATGTGAGGACTAAGGCTCGACCGCTTCTCCCAACTCTCACGGATGGTTCCAATAGGGTTTTTGTTACTGCCAAACAAAAGGCCGATGCCCTAGGGGCATACTTTGCTAGTGTATTCTCTGATGAGAGCTCCAAAGAAATGCGCTCTGGTAACCCGACTCGTGACTACCACTGCCTCTCGAGTATTTGCATCCATCCCAATGACGTTCTCAGGGTCTTGAAAACTCTCAAAGCGTCTACTTCTGAATGCTCCGACGGGATCCCACAGATCATCTACAAATCATGTGCGCCTTCCCTTTGTCAGCCGCTGACCCACATCTTCAACGTAACGATGCTTCTCGGCGAGGTCCCCGACCAGTGGAAAGAAGCCTTCGTCTCTGCTATACCCAAAGTACCCAGGAGCCAACTAGTGTCTGATTATCGCCCTATAAGCATTATTCCCACGCCTGCCAAGGTGTTGGAACGACTGGTCAGAAATAAGCTTCTATCGTGGCTTCAGAGGTTCAAGTTATTTCCGAAGGAGCAACATGGTTTCTTAAAAGGCGCTTCAACTACATCAAATCTTCTAGACAGTCTTTTCGATTGGTCTGTAGCACTAAATAAAGGGGAAGCAGTGGATGTTGTGCTCATTGATCTATCTAAGGCTTTTGATAGAGTCTCTCACTCAAAGTTGTTGAATAAGTTGGAGAAACTCGGTATAAGCGGGCCCCTCCTTAAGTGGTTCGAGTCTTACCTCAGCCAAAGATATATGAGAGTGAGGGTTGAACACAGTTTCTCATGTAAATTTAGCTGTCGCAGTGGTGTACCTCAGGGATCCGTTCTTTCACCGCTTCTGTTTCTCATTTATACAATGGATCTTCCCTCCTTTATTAAGACTTGCCCAGAAATTAGGGTTCAAATGTATGCAGATGACGTCAAAATTTACGCAGCATATAACAAAGAGAACAAAGAAGTTGTCCAGTTAGCTCTGAAAAAGTCAATTATGAAACTGACTGAATGGGCCTCAAATTGGGAGTTATCCGTTAACCTCAGTAAGTGCTCAGTATTCCATTTGGGTGGAGGAGCCCCAGGGTATTATGAAATCAATGGTGTCCAGCTGAAGCAATGTCACGCCATAAAAGATCTTGGTGTGCACATTAGTGTCAATCTCAAGTTCTCAGATCATATAGAATACGTAACTAAGAAAGCTTTGGCTACTATGTACCTGATTTTTCGTAACTTTCATAGCAAAGATATCAAATCTTTACTTTGCCTCTACAAAACCTGTGTACTCCCCCATCTGGAATACTGTTCTCCAGTTTGGAGCACTTCTCTCAAAAAAGACATTTCGAAACTTGAGAAAGTGCAGCAAACTTTCACTAGATTACTATTTCTGAGATGCTTTCCCTCCATAGCTCACAGTAATATGCCTAGTTACGACGAACGCATAAAATCGCTTGGTCTACATCGGCTAATAATAAGGAGAGTTGTGAATGATTTGACTCTTGCTTTTCGCATTCTGAAGAAAGAAACCTTACTCACCCCCAGTAAATACTGGGTCTTTCGACCTAGCAGCGAGAGAGCGGGTATATTTAGNTTTTATCAGTCCCCACTGTGTCGTCCGCCTGTAGACTGAGAAATATTTCGAGTTAGCCCTACAGCTGAATTTCTTGGTTTTTGTCTTAGCTATTTTTTTTTCTTCTGTTTGGTTTTCGATAATTATAGCAGTACTAACCCACTCTGTGTTGGCTTAGCGCACCAATGAGTGCAAAGATAAATAAATAAATAAAATAAATAAAGGCCCAAATTATCTCTAGTAGTTGGTGTCCTCATAGAAATAAGGAATTAGGCCCATGCTCTCATCTCCTTTCATGTAGTTCTGCAAAGTCGGGCAGCGTAAGGCGCTGCAGCTCAGCCCTCAGACCAGAATTTCATAAGGGGTCCCCAGGAGATGAGGTCGAGCTTGGAGATCCGATAAGCCACGATATACGTACAATTTCAGATCAAAAATGTTGACAATAGGCACGAAATTACAAGGATCGGTCAAGATATACCTGAAGGACTCATTTCTACTCAACTGTACCAGGTGCTATATTTTTCTTCCTATCTTTAGGAACAGTAAACTAACCTGATTTCAAGGAAGTACCAGCAGATCAGAAAGTGCATGATCCCGTTGGCAGAGCAATCGCCCACGTGTCTGGGAGGAAGCACGTTACTGGAGAAGCGATCTACTGTGATGACGTTCAAGTGGCCAGTGGGTTTCTCTCCAATTGAGAAGTTAAAGTTGTCAAAACTGTATGGTACGTTTTCTGAATGCTTCAGACTGTCTTCATATGGCATTTGTAATGTCCCCAATCGCCTGCGGCACACTCGAATCAAAGGATTTCTCTGAAGCGCTGTCTATGGATGGAGTCGTCGGATACATCGACGCCGAAGATGTGCTCAAGGGGATTCAGATCGGTCATCACAATGATACGCCAGTTTTCGTGAGGGATAAGGTAAGCTGAGAAGGTCATTGTGAGTCTCGAACATTACGAGCGATAAGTCCAGACCGAACCCTTGAAACGTACCTGGAAAAACCCATACTTCCAGATAACTTATCATGGTCAGCCTGTAGCGGCCATCATCGCACAAGACCATGAAACAGCTCGACGTGCAGCTAATGCTGTCAAATTGGAGTACACCAGGGATAAACCTATTATCTCTATCGAGGTACAAGACGAGTTAGCGCTTGAGTAGCGGTGAGCCCCGCTCATTAAGACGGATGATTCTGCCAGTAAGTGAAGACTTCTTTGAGGATGCGATCAAAGCGGATTCGTACCTCATGCAGCCGCTTGTCATACACTCGTCATTACTAGAAAACGAAACAGTGGTGAAGAATGACTGGAGCAGTTATGATCATGTCATCGAAGGAGAAATAAATATGGGTGGACAAGTCGGTTCATTTATGGTCTTACTTGCTTACTATTTGAGAGACCGAGACCATAGCTAGGTCTCCACAACTTAGCCTATTGTTGAGCGATCCTTTTACCCCGGAAAGCTGCGAACAATTTCTAATCATAAGCGATTCAATTTCTTTACCTGTTGCTTGAAGTGCTCAGTTTTCAAAAATAAGCTAAGTTTATGAGCACTTTTACAAGCTCATGCTTCCTTAATAGTAGTTTCATGAATGCGCTCGGGAGAGGTTTGGGCGCTACATATTCTAACAGGAGAACGTAGAGCCCTGCTCTTTCTATCCAGCCTGGGTAATCTTCTAGCTTAACACCATCCAGTTATTATTCAACTTTTCGTTTCGAACCATGATTTGAAGAAGATGAAGGTAAAGTTAATGACTCTGCCATATCCTGGTCCTATATAAAGGATGAAACCTCTAGGCGTTAATCAGTCCCGTCTGTGGGGTGCGCCCCGCATTTGACTTGCAGACAGAATCGTATTGGCGTAATGAATGAGTATATGGCCTTTACAATGAACTGCGGTGGCCAGCCGATGTACAAGTCAGTGCTTTTATACTCCCAGACAAGTCTGGTACCAATTAACCGACCCCGGAAGGATGGAAGGCTCAGTTGGCCTAGGCGGATTTCGATCGGAAACTCGAACCCGCGACCATGGGTGTGATATAGTGCGCCACTTGCCACTACACTACTTGATATTAAGTAACGAAGCTTCGAGGAAAAAAAAATGCCGCATGTATCGCAGACTTATGCATCAACCCAGTATAATGTGAGTGTGAACAAACAATAACAAACAACCGTTTTCATATCAATTTATACAAAGCACCTTTCCAGGAGCACTTCTATCTTGAAACGCAACAATGTGTCGTAATACCTCATGAAGACGACGAACTTGAAATTATATCGAGTTCACAGGGAATAAATGACGTTCAGGTGCAGTATCTGTCGCTATTTGGAAATGATGCACTTTTATTAATGAATGTTCTCCTTGATTGAAAAGGATGCACGAAAAACAACAGTCATCTTTGCAGATGGAAGTCTCAAAATGCCTTGGAATTCCTGCCCATAAAATCATTGTGAAGGTGAAACGAATCGGTGGTGGTTTCGGAGGCAAAGAAAATGCATGTTCCTTGCTATCTGTCCCTACGGCGATTGCTGCGCGGAAGTAGGCACTACAGAGTGTTTTTAAAGACACAGTTCACGATAATTTTGAAGTACATACTCCTTTTATTCAAAAAGCGGAAGTATAGGTTAGGAATAGTCTATAGGTAGTGGAGAAAGAGAGAATATTCGCCAATCTCGAGAAAGAAAGGCTTCTCAAAAGTAGGGAAAATAAAGATTGGACAAGACCACTATGACGGAAATAACATGGAAGGAGTATTCGGACGAGTTTTCATTTGTTGCAGTAGCGCAAAGAGCTGATAATCAAGCCAGAACTAAACAGAACTGCCTTCACTGTCGCTGTGGGTCACAGTAAGTTGCTTGAGTCTCCTACATGGGTTCCCTTGTGATCGGTGCAGCCTCTGCAATGCTGGTGAAATTCGTCCGAGGATTTACACGATACAATCTTTGAGTATTTATAACTCCCTAACTAGGCTGTTTTCCGACTTGGCAACGCCAGGTATGGTATACGAGAGAGCCTCGAATTCAACTTTTGGCCAAATATCATAACCCATTTTTATCGTGAACTGTGACTTTGAATACAATTCTCACTAATATTCAACTCCCATTTACAAACTTGTATTCCTTATAGGTTCAGAAAACCGGTACGACTAACACTGGAACGGTACGATGATATGGCAATAAGTGGAACAAGGCATCCATTCAAATTCAACTACAAGGTAGGGACGAAAGAAAACGACCGAGGAAAGTGATCGCTGTTTGCTTGCTTCACTTCGGTGATCAAGGTAGTCTTGTTTTTGGAACTGTCAAATGGCGCAACGCCTCAATTTGTGCCGGCTTCACTCCGAGATCGAAACCAACCAAGACTGGGGAACCCCAACTAAACTAGATACCCACTGATTACGATTCGCAATAGGGAGCATAACAGAAAGAATCATCACATTTTTTGAAAAGATTTCGCGGTGCTGGCGAGGTAGAGAGATATAGTAGCATCAAACCATAATGTCAAAACTAGGGCCCCATTAGCTTGGCTACGGATAGGAAGGGTGAGGATAAGACGTTGGTCAACAAGGACGTAACTCTCTGTCACCTTCTAGTTCCGAAAGAGTCATTCTCTCACCATCCTCTGCCCAACAAGTTGCCAATCTTCTCTCTCTGGGTTATTCTGGCTCTCCGTGAGAACTGTCTTCGAGATAATTGGAGCACGGAAGGAGGGACAAACGACAAACAACCTCACTTTCACAAGCTTAAGGGCACAATTGATCCGTACTTCATGAAATGACGCTTGATTTAGGTGGCACTGGATTCTTCAGGGAAATTCCGTGACTATTCTGTGACAGCGTACGGCAACTGTGGTCACACATTCGATCTCTCACTCGGTGTTGTACGTGAGTTACAGAAAGAGATTCATTTTGAGCGGTCTAACTCATTGAATGCCAGACGTTTTAGAGCGTGCAATGGTCCACATTGACAACGTTTACAAATTTCCCAATGCCGATATAGAGGGACGATTATGTAAAACGAATCTGGCATCTAACACAGCATTCAGGTAGTTTTCCACCAATGATAAAGTGAGGATTGAGCAGGTGATTACCCAGTTAAATGTTTCGTGATAAAGGCAGCTCTGCTGAACGCTGGCTGGCCTTCTTCCTTCGTAAAAGAAAGGGCTAAATAACGAGTTGGGCCGATTTTAAATTTAAATGTGAATCAGTGAGGATTCACATGTACATATGCAACGATGTACATTTATGGAATACTTCATGAAAACAAGGCCTAGTCGAAGTGTATTTACTCTGTAAAACTACTGTGTTCGCTATATTCGGTGTATAAAACGCTTTTTATACGTTTTCTTCAGAGGTTTTGGTGGTCCACAAGGAATGTTCTGTACGGAAACGTTGGTGAAACATATTGCTGAAGAGCTTAATTTGGATCACGACAAGGTGAGATGCCGTTAGTTCGAAACAGTGACTATTATTGAAATATACCAGAGGATCAAGTCCCATCCGACGCTGCAGTTCTGTACATAACACGCCAACCCTGTGAGACTTTCACGTCACGTACTGCGACGTAATAACAGCAATTAGCAAAACATCAAGTCAAAACTCCTCTATTCAACTTCTGAGTGAACATATAGCGAGTTCGTTCCTCCAGAGCATGACATGACAGGGCTTTGAGCTTTCATTCAATTTGCCGGCTCCACGAGGGTAATGGGCATAATTTTATGTCGGGTTCTCTTTGAGTACCGATGATCCCGTTTATGCTCATAGAGGGCACTATTGATGACTGGTGAGGGTATCTGTTTGTAAATCAGGACTGGCTCAGTTGGACCTGACAAATTAGACGCATAAATAATCAAATGAATAAATAAACAAATCAGTTCACTGTTTACAGATTCGTGAGATTAATATGTATGAAGAAGGTGATTGCACACCATTTGGAATGCACTTACGACAATGTAATATACGAAGAACATGGTACGAATGCAAAGAGACCAGCAACTATGAACAACGACTGAAACTCGTCAGAGAGTTCAACAGGTTGCCTTTTTATGGAATATACAAGAAATTTATCCCAAGTGCTACCCGCCCGGTGTGAGTAGCTCCCTGAATAATCTACGCGCAACATATGTATTTACGAATCTGAAACACATTTCTAAAAAAACTCGCACTTTGTTTCAAATTCATTCCCATACTAAACGATAAGCTCCACAATTATGCACAACTCTGCGAATCGGTTTGCGCTTTTATCCTTGCCTATTCTTCCGCCCGCGATTTCGTTCAAGTTTCTTGAGCAGTCTTTCTCTCTTGGAGAAAGACTCATCAAGAAATTCTAAGCCATTGAACGAAGTCGATTGGACTTAACGCTTCCCATCTTCATAAATTGGGAGGGCAAGGGATGACTAACTTGCTCAGCTTAACCCCACCTATGTACAGGCCTCCAGAACCACTTTCTCTCCTTTTTCTCCTCCTGCCTACTGCGCTCAGGGTTGCTCACAGTTCACGCTACCAAAACTTAGATTGAGTAATCGGTCTTTCAAACCTTTTTTATGCTTCTGTATCCAATATTATGCCAACAACTCTACCCTTTGAGATTTTGTTTGTTTCAGATCGAACAAATACAGGAAACGAGGTATCTATATAATGCCAACGCGATTTGGGATAGGGTTCGGTCTCAAGCAGTTAAATCAGGTAAAGTCGATCGGCCGCTATCATAAGTTTCCCAGTAGCATCTTTTTTAGAACCTTCTTCAACTTCTCAGTGGTGACACCTTCTAACCTCCTTCGAGCTATGTTACGTATGTTATGTTATAGGCGTAATGTTATAGGCTGGAGCTCTTGTTTTAATCTACACTGATGGTTCTGTGCTTGTCTCTCATGGTGGTATGGAAATGGGTCAAGGACTGCACACAAAAATTATGCAGGTATGATTAGTATGAACTGATGAAGCCTAAAGGATTTCCATCGTTCTCATGTAGACCAAATCAGTCGGAATTTCAGAATTCTAGAATTTCAGATAGCAGCTCGAGTTTTGGACATTCCCATTGAGTTGGTGCACATTCACGATACAGCAACAGATAAGGTCTGAACCAAATCTAACTGCTTTTATTCATCCTTTTTTCGGTTTCTCTTTTTTCGTAGGATAAATCCCTATTTCTCATCTCATTACTTGTGTACAGGTCCCCAACGCTTCCCCAACGGCCGCCTCGGTTGGCAGTGACATGAATGGTCTAGCTGTGCAGGTTAGTTACAAAGTGTTTGGGCTGCATTCAAATGATTCATTAGCAGTAAAAGCGAAAGCCCTTCATCATCAGCCTCAATCGTAGCATGCGCCACGCCTAGTTTTCTTTGCTGTTCAATTATTTGGACGTCTCTGGAATAAAGTCCGTACCCAAAAACGTATTGAAAAAAAAAAGAAAAATGCGGGTCATACCTACCTGAAACTCACTTTCCCCCTGAGATATGGTTTGACCGAAATATTTGAATTAAACTTTAACATTGCCCATCTCTCCAATCTCTTAGATCAGGGAGATAGGGTGCTTTTACCTACAGTCGGTTGTAGGGTGTTTAGATGTATAGTAGATGGGATAAACTCGATTCTGTCCTTCAAGGCTTCGACGAAGTCGGACTGGCCGAAACTTGAAGAATCTGATTTTAAGCCTCGAATGTAACATCATCACTTCCAAGGGTGCTTAAATGTTCATTAGAAGTGTACAGCAACTTTCTATGTAGTGATTGTAACTTTACTTTCTGTGTTTTTCTACACCAATCATGAAAGGTAGGGGGTGAGGACCTGTTTGTCGCAGGTGATATTTGATTAAGCGGTCATTGTAACCCGAAAGCACCCCTGATTACTTTACTTCAGTAAAAAAGAACTGAGATATGGCATAGTAACCACGCCTAAAATAGGAAAAGGTTTCTTGTTTTTTCTCCTTTCTTCTGCTTGTTCCATCACCTGTCATCGCTTATTTTTTGTACAATTCGATATTTACTTCACATTGCCATGTTGTTACTTACTTTCTTATCTTATCAGAGAAGTTTAATTCAGGACGCTTGCAATAAACTTCTTCGGCGCTTGGAACCTTTCAAAAAAGCCAACCCCGAAGGCACGTGGAAGGAATGGGTTCGTCAGGCGTACGTAGAGCGAGTTTCTTTGTCAGCTACTGGATTCGGAATGTATGTGAGAGTTAGATGAATCAATCAGCAGGAACACATGTAGTGTTGATTCAGTTGTCTTCACTTTTCAGAATTCATAGTGAGGCGGTGGACTTCTTCAATGGCAAAGGAGCAGAGCTTTTCGGTTACTGTGTTTATGGAAGTGCTTGCTGTGAAGTTGAAGTCGACTGCCTGACAGGAGATCACTATGTAAGGAAGGGCTTTTGGAACTGTTCGGGAGTACTTCTTAGACAATTCTACATGAAGACTGTTGCATAAATACCTTAAAGTTTGTAAATCAGAAACTCAATTCCTAAACTGTTTGACTTAGGAAACCCTAATTATTGTCAGCGGATATCCTTGACTGATGGACGTGGTGGAGAACTCTTTCGAGAGATAATGAAATCTTGAAGATGGGTTTAGGGTCACTTGCCATAAAGTCCCATACCCAGCGTTCACTCGTTATGATCCGAGCCACAACAACAATGGAAAATCTTGAACATATCACTGTGGACATTGTGAATCGTCGTCCAATTCATCGGATCAACTTTCCGCTCGGTTCCTACTGCGACGGTGAAGGTGATAAAATGTGGGAGACCATTACGTCCAGACCATTATTCTCCAATATGATTGAAAACGCAAAGGACCGCTAGGTCATTACCAGAAAAGTCGTGAAAAAACAAAGGTCTCTCAAGTAGGTATGAAATAAAGGCTCCAAGTATGCTCACAGTACTCTCCCCTTTTTTCACGCCTTTGAAAGAGTGAATCAGTGGAGAAAGAAACCTTACATTAGCAAACGTTTTTGGTTTTACTCCTGATTTTCTACTTCTCAATGCTTACATCATGGCATTTGAAAGCTAGAACATCATAGCATTTGAAAGTAGAAACCCCCGCTGAGTGTTCACTGACAAGCTGCCCGAAGAGCTTTTGGTCTAAATTACGTGAGACGTCGCATTCGAGCCAAAGAGTATGTTGTATTTTTTATGTCATAGTTGGAAAGTATATGGAATAGCGTCTTTTTCCAATCACCACCTAGTTTTGCCGATTGAAGTTCTGCACAATATAATCTTAGGGGAATNAAGCTGCTCGGACAAGGATGGTCTACAGAGGAACATATCTCTCGTTTATTAGACTGCTTCGAAACACCGAGAAGTGTTGAGGATGAGAGTGCTGTTCAACAAGCTTAATCTCAGTGCTAAAGTCTAGACGTTCCGTTTCTCGAGTTTACCATCATAGCCTGAGAATGGAGTTCGAAAAGCATTGCCTTCCAAGTTCTACATGTCTTCAGTATACTCTGACGCAGTCGTTGGCATTCTGAAGAACTAGAGCAAAAATCTGTCCCTGTCCGCACTATTTTCCATACCTCACCTTATAAAACCAACTTTCTTCCTTTCCTTTAGAACATCCTGAATTAATATTCGCTTACTCGTCTGGCTAAGTTTGCATCCTTCGATGAATCGATCTGTGCTACCTACCTCAGAGAGTTCTGGATCCCTGGATTGTAACACTTAAGAGTAGGTGTCCTGTGATTGACTTACGGTCTTCAAGTACATAAATATGGTAAAGGGCGCCCGTAAGTTACAGAAAAAAAAGAGTTGACCCAAATAGTATACATGAACACCTGTATATGTTCAATTATGATATTAGTCAAAAATCATAAAAATTTCATTTCTTAACAAATACAGTATCGTATTCAGCTCTTACGTACCGATATTGTAATGGACATCGGAGACTCGCTAAATCCAGCTATAGACATCGGTCAGATAGAAGGAGCCTTTGTACAGGTATCTCGATAACACTGCAATGTCCACTAAATTCTGTAAGCACGACAAACTTCCAGGGCTATGGTCTCTTTACCATGGAGGAAATCAAAGTGCGACCTGATGGCGTACGACTAAGCCGAGGACCAGGCGTCTACAAGATACCATCAGCAGACGATGCACCACGACATTTCAACGTTCGACTTCTAAAAGGATCAAGTAACCGAATGGGAATATTTTCGTCAAAGGTTTGTTGTAGCATCAATGGTTCCCATTTCCGTCATCGCTACATTTCACTTATGACTGATCCTTTCTGCTATTTCAGGCTGTAGGTGAACCTCCGCTTTTCCTTGGGGCTTGTGCCTTTTTCGCTATCCGGGAAGCAGTACGGTCATTCCGCTTAGAGCACGGTCTTAAAGGCTACTTCCGATTTGACTCTCCAGCCACTCCAGAGCAAATCCGATTGGCCTGCGAGGACGAAATTTTGAGCAAGGTTAGTTTTCTTGTGCTTCTCTTCAAGTTTCTCTGTTTGGGAACTGTCAAACTTCTAGGTACCGGAGCTTCCACCAAAAGGAACTTATACGCCTTGGACGGTCACACTGTAATCGAATGTCGTCAAGAATGAGGTGCATCAATAGAATGTGGTGCGCGCAGTCTTGATAGAAGATAGCCTGCCCGTAGTTAGGTGTAATTATTGACTCTAGACAACACTTTACGCTCACAGTAAAACATATGGCCGTGTTATATGGTTCAGTCTGATTGAAGTACGCGACATACGACAGTATCTAGCAACATTTTACAGAGTTCTATTGTTATGTGTCAGATGATTGCATAAACTGATGATACCGATTTATTTTTTGCTGTAAATAGCGAATACAATAAAGCGAATCCTATTATTTGGTCAGCAACGTAGCAGTGTGCTAAGTTCACTACGGAATTCAAGCAGAAATAACAATTATGGATTCATCAACAAAAGTTGTTACCTCTGGCATTGTGTGAGCTGCGGTATTTAAGACTGATGCACCTCAAGTCGCTAACTACTATAAATGGGGTAGGGATGAATGGTAGTTTTATAAGCTCGAACCTTCCAAAGTTGAGCAACCAGTCGGTATCTGTGGGGTATCTTCGACCACGTCGAAATTCGCAAGGGTTGTGGATGTACGACTGTTCCCTTGCCCTGACGGCGAGCGTTCTGTATTTCTCTTTCCTAGGGGCAGTGGCCTCCTCCTAGTTTGGTCCGAGCAAGGCTTCCATCTTTTGAGAGTAATCTCTCTTATTTATAAAGCAGTAAATCGGTGTGTAGGTTCGTCGATATGTCGGTATACGATATGGGTTTGTCGGTCTGTCCGTCCGCTAAAGTTTATGATTACGATCAAGGTAGTGATATGGAAAGCTTAGCTCTGTTCTACACTACTTTCTTATATATAAGGCACTTACTCGGTGAGTGGATTAATAGAGTAGAGTGGGTAGGCGGAGGAAGTGAGTGATGTGGAGTGGTTTTTTTTAAAAACTGAGGTTTCGAACTGTACTGGCATCGTGCCATGTATGTCTTTACAAAAACCGGCATATGAGGAGGTTAGCCTTCAATTGTGCTAAAGAACGTCTTCTAGCCGAGAACTACAGTTTTTTTT